AAAAAGCCAGGTACATATCTCTTTCTGATCTGTTCTGATTCTGGAAAAAACTGGAAAGTCATGTCCCATTCTGGGAAACAACATGTTAAGAAGGACTCTGGCAAGATGGGGCACATACAAGGGAGAATAAAAAGGGTGGCAAAGAGTCTGGGGACCATGAAATAGAAAAATTGTCTAAGATTAGCAATTTCTAACATGGAAAAGATAAGGGCAGCAGATCCGTGACAGTCTTCCAGTACTGAACCATTGCCACTGTGGTGAGGTAGTAGATTTAATCCCCTGGTGGCTTTAGTTTACCATTCCTCTAGTCCTTCATCCACTCTACTGCCCAGATGATTTTTCAAGACACAAATCTCAATGTCACTGTCTGTGATTACTCCCCTATGAGTAAGCATGTAGCCAATCTCCAGGCCAAGTAAAAGGGTTTGAGCATTTCAGAAGGATCTGATAAGACTCTTGCCCCAAACAGACGGCATTCTGGGCAGCTGGATGCCCTTACAAGGAGTTAAGGGCCATCACCATCAATTATGATGACCTTTAGGACAACAGCTCACAGCCCAAATTAAAGATCCTGTGCTTTTGTTTACAATGTTTCCTCCTCCTGGAAGTTAGTTGTGTCACTAACTTACCATTACTCTACAGGACCTAATTGAAGATTCACCACATCCAAGAACTTTCCCTGAACATCAGCTTCCATTTTTACCCAGATGAGTTGGGTGTCCCTCCTCTATATTAAAATGCCACCTTACACAAACCTTTTACAGAAAGCACTGAATTGCTTTGCAGTCACCAAGTCTACTTGATAGTAGAACATAAGAACCTAAACTGAGATACATCTGCATATGAAAATGCATTTATTTGCACAAAATAATGTGCACGGAGAGAAAGGGACTGTGAGGGGGAGGTTTTGAGCATCTAAACCTGGTGGCCAACATGGAAGAAAGGTGGGGAAACCAAGAGAGCAACTTAGTGGCTGGCCCTCAGTCTGGGTTCCAATTCCTAAACCTGGCCCCATGGACTAAGTCCAAGTCCTATGGAGAAATAAGGGCTACACACAAAAGCTTTAGTAACTGAAAGATTTGGAAAAAATGAGGTACATGCAAGACTGTTTGGAGCCAAACCACAAACTATAACACATGGTAGGGAAAGTGAGCCCTCTTCCCACTTTTACACTCATTACCCAGATTTGCTCAGGTTTGAAAAGGCCACTGGTGCATCTGAGACAGTGCAATGAATTCTGGAGGGGGCAAGGAAGCCCCTGCCCAGAAGATGCTGCTCTGTTATGTCTATTTAGGAGTGGACACTTGGGAAAATGATGCAATAAAATTGTTTTGTTTTTGTTTGTTTAAATCTCGGGGACTTCCAGAACTACTTCAAGAGTGGCTTTTGCAAGGGGCTGGGTCTTACACTCAAGGGAAAAATGACCAAGCAGGCAAGTAAAAATTATCACTGTTAATGTGACTCTATTTACAGCTATGGTATGGAGGCCTGATGAAATCTATTTATGGTTATATTAAATTCTTAAGCTACTCTTACACCCATTCATTGGCCTTGAGATCCTTGAAGGCAGAGACTGCTGGTTTTTAAAAAACTCCTGTAGCCCCACTATCTATCTGAGTTCCCACCACAGGGTAGGTATTCAACATACGGCTACTGAATGAAGAAATAAAACTAGTGAAAGAAGAACTATCTCTAATGGACAAATTTAGGACACATAGGTAGAAATCACAGGAATGCAAAGTGCCTTTGTAACAATTAGAAATCTCTATCAATCAATCAATCAATCAAATTAAAAAAAAATCTATCAGTGGGGGGCACCTGGGTGGCTCAGTCAGTTGAACATCCGACTCTTGATTTTGGCTCAGGTCATGATCTCATGGTGCAGACTCAGCATGGAGCATGGAACCTGCTTGGAATTCTCTCTCTCCCCCCACCTCTCTCTCTGCCCCTTCCTTACTTGTACTCTCTCTCTCAAAATAAATATATAAACTTAAAAAAAAAAAAAAAGAAATCTCAATAAGCTTAAAAAGCTCAAGGTGACAGAGTGTGAATTTTATCACTGGAGGAGTTGTCAAGGATGCCCCTAGACGAGGTACATGCCTCATGGAGAGAAATGGATCAAATCATTTCTAACTCTGAAACTACTTGGTATTAGTTACATGAAGACAAAGAGGAGTGGGGCCATGACAAAGGAGGTAGCCCTACAGGGCAATATGTAAAAATGATGAGTCAGCAACAAAATTGGTTTTTAAAAGAAGTCATCAAGGACTGTCTATAAAAATCAGCAAGCCTTAAGCCAGAATTCATCAGAATTAAACAAGTATCCTGAAACACTGTTGCATTGTGTCATAGACATTATCTTCAAAAGTTATTCTATTATAACTCTGAATGATGTCCAGAGGACTAAGGTGTCTAATGGACATTATCTATAGTGAAGACGCTAAGTGATGAAAGGTTAAAGGAAAGATTTACAACGTATTGAGAGCAGGCTGTGATTTGTAGACTCATAGCCTGTTTCAATGACTCTTCTACAGCCTCTGGCAAAGTAAATGCTAGAGCCACTTGTCTTTATACCTTTAACTTCCAATAAATGACCGAAGGATCCCACATCTACAAGAGGGAAATTACTAGACAATGCAGAAAAGGTCTTCAGAGATAAATGAAGATTCTACAGTAATTTAAAGGCCACAAATAGAATGATGGAGAGTACTATTTCATAATGTCAAAGTTCAAAGGCACTTTTCAAATGTCTTTTTAAAGAAAATCTGACCTTTCTTTCTCCACTTCTTTCTTTCTTTATTATCAGAAAGTTAGCCAAGGGCAGTCTGGGCCTTGGGTCATTTCATTTTGACATGGAAATTCTTTCAGCATTAAAAATAATCAGAAGATCAGAAATATTTAACTCTGCAGTGGCCAAGAGGACACATTCAGTAGCATAAAAAAGAACAACATCGAAGCACTAGGATTTCAAAGCTTGTGTTTTAATAACTCCATAAACCTCCCCCCACCCCGCATATATATGAGGGAGAATTTAATGAGGCCATTACTAGCTAAAGGAGTAAGTATGAATACACATTTTTTTTCTAATGTATTTCATGTTATTTTACATGAAAATTTTAAGAAAACTGCTCAGGGGCGCCTGGGTGGCTCAGTCGGTTAAGCGTCCGACTTTGGCTCAGGTCATTTTCTCGCAGTTTGTGAGTTCGAGCCACGTGTTGGGGGCTCTGTGCTGACAGCTCAGCCTGGTTCAGATTCTGTGTCTCCCTCTCTCTCTGCCTCTTCCTTGCTCTATCTCTCTCTGTCTCTCAATAATAAATTAACGTTAAAAAATTAAAAAAGAAAGAAAGAAAACTGCTCAGTACACCATTAGTAACTCTATCTTTTTTAGATGTAGATTAGATGACATGAGATATAGATGCAGACATAAATATGTTTTCATGAAAACAAAAACCTATTACAAAAGGCCCCCTTTCCCCCTTTTTAAGGTATAGTTTACAGACAGTAAAATTAAGTGTACAGTTCTACAAATTTTGATGAATGCAGTCATAAACCACCACCACAGCAAGATATAGAATAATTCCATCACATCCCCAAATTCCCCTTTGTCCCTTTGTAGTAAACCCCTCTCTCCGTCTCCAGCTCTTGGAAACTACTGGTCTGCTTTCTGTTTCTATAATATTGTCTTTTCAAGAGCGCCCTATAAATGGAATTATATAGTATGTAGCAAAGACCTCTTTTAAATTTCATGCACTGAATAAAAATTAAAGTAACTAAATGAAGTGTCGATTTTAATGTACTGATTTCTATTTCCCAAACTTAAGGCAATAATAGATATATAAAATCAAATTACCCTTGAATATTACATCTTGAAGCAGGTAGTACCCAGGGAACCTTTTGAATACATCTAAAGATCTTTAGGACTTCAAATGTGACATATTGAATCAAATCTCTCAGTGAGGGTTCTGAGAATTGTTTTTATCAAGTTCTCCAAGCTTCATTCTGACTGATCAGCCAGATTTGGGAAACATTAACCCAACAGACATTCACTATATGAGATTAAGTACCAGGCAGTAAATTATGTGTGGCAATGGGGTTAAAGTTCAGAGGCTAGGAGAGGTTTATCTAGGTGACCTTGTCCTTGGATGTGGCTACCACTTATTGCCTACAGAACCTTTAATAAGTCACTTAAACTTGCTGAACCTTAGTTTTCTCCTCTGTCATGCAGGAGCAATGATGCTGACTTCATAGAATTATTTTGGGGGATTAAATGCATATAAAACTTTTAGATAGAACCTGGCATACTTAGTACTCAGTGAATGGAAGTGATTCAGTGATGCACATAGCATTGTATCAGTATTAACATCATCATTATCATCATCATGCTGTCATATAAATGCTTTACTTGTCTTTCTCCACATTTCTGCATTTTGGTCAATTTCACTATTGTTTAGCCCTTCGTCTAGAAGTGACCAAAGTAAACAGAATCCTCTTTTGTAGCAGCCCAACTAGTGTTCAGGGGAGTTCAAAGCTAACAGAAATTCACTGACTGTCCCCACCCCTCACTTTTACCTCAGAGATACCAATGGGAACAAAAATGAATTACGGGATTCACTCTCCTAAGGGTATATTATTGGCCAAATATAAGCAAACAAAAGGGAAGGAGAGAAAGCAAAGGGCCAGAATAAAGCAGAAAATTAGGCTGCCTTTGTAATTAGGAAATATCTAAAACTTGACTTCATTTGTTTGCAGTTTTATACTGCAGTGTATACACATGTATTTTTCAGCCATAGTTTCTTAAAAATTTTTACTATTGAAGAATAGTTGACATACATAGGCAACAGTTTTTATTTAAGCCATGAAATATAGAAGAGTGATGATATTTGGCTGCATTTGCTGATCTAAAGAAACAACTCCTATCCTCACAGGATTACACAATGCTGCCAACACCAAGGACCAAAGACCCGGGGGCAAAAGACAAACCTGAAACTCACAAGCCCTACCTGTTCTCAGCATCAGCGCTGCACTTTGGGGACATCAGTTCAAAGGATTTGGTAAACTTCACCACCTGCCACACAAAAAGACATAAATCCAAGTCAATTAAAGCTTTCTTACAGCTTAAAATAATTCAATAAGCAGTTTTCATCTTTATAATGATGATTACAATAATTGGAGATTAAAGAGCAATTTTAAGTAGAGAAATCCCAAGGGACAGAAGAACAAAATTCTATCTTACATTTTGTATTGTATGTCTAACATGGCTTACATTGACAGAGTTTTATACAATTTACTAAATATGTGTATCTGTTTTTTCAAGTTTTTATCTAAATTCCAGTTAGTTAGCATACAGTGTAGTATTAGTTTCAGGTGTAGAATTTATTAAAAACTTCCATATAAACACCAAACACAAGTGCACTCTTTAATTCCCATAACCTGTTTAACCCCCACCCCTCTGCCACCTCCCTTCTGGTAACCATCAATTTGTTCTCTGTAGTTAAGAGTCTGTTCTTGGTTTTCCTCTTTTTTTTCTTCCCAATGATATGTGGAATTTAAGAAACAAAACAAATGAACATAAGAGAAAAAATTATATGTATGCATATTTTTTTTTAATTTATTTTTGAGAGAGAGAGAACAAGTGGGGTAGAGGCAGAGAGAGAGACACACACACACACAGAATCTAAAGCAGGATCCAGGCTCTGAGCTGTCAGCACAGAGCCCAATGCAGGGCTTGAACTCGTGAACTGTGAGATCATGACCTGAGCTAAAGTTGAACACTTAACGGACTGAGCCTTCAGGCACCCCTACTATGTATATATTTTTACAATGAGGTGTATACTATCTTGTGGCAGTCCTGCCAAGGGATATCTCAATTGAAAACATTAAAAAATTTTTATTGCCCTTTGAACAATCCAATCACTATCCATAGAGGAGAAAGAGGAGACAAAATACCACTCGAAAAGGATGGCCTCCATCAACCCCAGGCTCCCAAAGTTGCCTTCCCTGGTTTACCATTGTTCTCAGGTGAACATTTTGTTGCCACCAACCCCCGCCACCTCTGCTCCAAGGCTAAAGAAGAGAAAGCTATCTTCTTCAAAGATCATTCCTAGTGTGGACACTTCCTCCTTCACCTGTCTCATGAAATTGGCATACTCGGTGCAAGAACCTGGTCAAGACTTATTACATTGAAAGAAAATTATGAACACAGAAAAAGTAAAGGTAGTTTTTCTTATTATTAGCTACTATTGACTTCTTACTATAAACCAGGCTGTACATCAGAAACTTCTTGGACTATTTAAGTTCCTTATTACGATTCTAGAAAGCAGAGACTTTTATCGTCAGTATATAGAGGAGGAAACCTCCCCATAATTTTTTTTTTGAACGTTTATTTATTTTTGGGACAGAGAGAGACAGAGCATGAACGGGGGAGGGGCAGAGAGAGAGGGAGACACAGAATCGGAAACAGGCTCCAGGCTCTGAGTCATCAGTCCAGAGCCTGACGCGGGGCTCGAACTCACGGACTGCGAGATCGTGACCTGGCTGAAGTCGGACGCTTAACCGACTGCGCCACCCAGGCGCCCCGTCCTCCCCATAATTTTTAAGAAACTTTCTGAATTTCACACAACTACCTGGGGCACCTGGGATTAAAGCAAGTCTGCGTGATTCTAGAGTGCCAGCTCTTTCAACAGCACTAAAAATTTTGGGTGGGAAAAGCACCATTTCTGGCCTTCTTTTGACAAGCTATACCACATGATAGAAAAATGAGTCTCTTACACTGAGAGGAGTCATCTGAATGTCACTGGATGCTTCCAAGGTTGACATTTAGACTTGCCTTAGCTAGATGCAGTCATGCTTCAAAGGCCTTTTAAATTAGCCACTTATGAGGAATTGATGGGCACCTGAGAAAATGATTTGGAAACTGGGAATAGATTAAATATTAAAATAGCTTTATCAGTGAGGTAATGAACCCAAACTAAGAAAATGCAACATTAGGGAAAAGATAAAAGAAAAGCCCATCACAAAGAAAATTGTGTGTGATTCATTGAATGCAGGGCAGTGACAATAGAACAACTACAAGCAAATACCCTTGATAACTACAGAACACATTTCTTTTCATATACTAATGTGAATTGGGCCTCTACAAAATCATTCATTGCGACCAATTTTATTTTCTAAAGATGGCCACAACAATACCTTTTATCCCACACTCTGCTACGATATGACCCTGCCACCCTCTTAACCAAGTGGTAGGGTCTATGTTCTTTCCCCTTGAATCTAAGTGGGCTTCTGACCACTTTGACCACTAGAGTATATAGGATGGATGTGGTGTGGTCTCTAAGACTGTCATAAAAGCCAATATGGCTTCTGCATTATCTGATGGAATACTTAGGCCGAGAGGCCTGAGGTACCATGTAAGAAGTTCAGCTACCCTAAGGCCACTATGCTGAAAGGGAGCCAAAAACCACATAGAGAGGTATGATATAGATGTTCTGGCAAGAAGCTCCAGTCTTCAAGTCATGCCAGCCTAGGAATAAGACATATGAGTGAATAAACCAGATGATTTCAGTTCCCTGCTATGAAGTCACCCCTGATCTCCATGTTTTCCCAACTGTGGCCCCAGACAACCTGAAAAGAGGCAGGCCATCCTTGTGATGTCCTCTCCAGATTCCTGATCCATGGGACCTTTGAGCATAACATGATTGGTTTAAGCCTCTAAATTCTGGGTTTATTTGTTACACGGCAAAAATAACCAGAACATTTATCTGAATTAAGGACTTAAACAGAAACCAATCACTTAGAAATCACCATCCAGTTGCAATACTCTTGGGTTTCAAAAGTTAGCAAGCTACAAAGAAACTATTTCCTATCACCAAATAATAAATCCCTCAAACTATACCCCAAATAATTTTTAAAGTTAAAACAATAATAAGGTAAATAATAGTAACATTTCATTTCTGTTTGCCTAATGGAAAATTGTCACAGATTTTAAAAGGAGAAGTTAGTCCTCTGTCTCTGCTTTGATCTCTCATCATATGTGATTTCTTTCCATTATTTTGTTAGATGATAGAAAATTCATGTCCTATTTTTATCATGTTTATGGACTGTATGTTTGTGTCCCCTAAAATTCATAGGTTGAAGCCCTAATCCTCACTGTGATGGCATTTGGAGATGGGGCCTTTGGGAGGTGATCAAGTCAACAGGTGAAGCCTCATAGGCATTAGTGCTTTTATTAGAAGAGGCAAACACAGCTTGCTTCTCATTTTCTCTGCTGTGAGAATACTATGAGAAGGTGACCATCTACAAACCAAGAAAACTGACCTCACCAGACACAAGATCTGCTAGTACCTTGATCTTGGACTTCCCAGCTTCCAGCACTGTGAGAAATACATGTTTGTTCTTTAAGCCACCCATTCCATAATAATTTGTTATAGCAGCCTGAACTAAGACAACTATATTTTACCTTTTTGCTGCAAATGTGTATAAGGCAATTTGCCCAATTATGACCAATCCTTTATGTAGGTATCAATGTTTACAACATACTGGTAAGGTATATATTATTATCCTCACTTTATTTAAAGGAAATTAAGGCTCAGAGAAGTTAAGTGGTTTCCTGGAAACCATATAACCAATACCCTGCAGAATTGGGATTTGAATTGTATCAGTCTGATTCTACAGCCCCACTCTCCCCACTACTCACTGCTTTTGTAAACATGAGCAAGTGGTATTGTGGGGGCACTTGGGTGGCTCAGTCAAGCATCTGACTCTTGATTTTGGCTCAGGTCATGATCTCATGGTTAGTTTCATGAGTTCAAGCCCCATGTGGGGCTCTGCACTGACAGTGTGGGGCCTGCTTGGCATAGTGTCTCTCCTTCCCTCTCCCCCTCCTGTGCTTATTTTCTCTGTTTCTCTATTTCTCTCTCAAAATAAATAAATAAACATTAAAAAAAGTGGTATTGCAACACCACATTATTGGGACATGCCTCCTTCAGAGCCAGAATACTTAGATAAACTCTGCCTTTATTTATCAATTCTATAAATATATTTTGAGTATCTATTAAATGCCTGAATTTGAATAAACAGACTTAAAGTAGCTTGAAGTAAAATACTTGGCCTAATATACAACCAATCAAATTACCAATAAACTATTAACCGTTTCTGCATTTGGAAATCAAAAAGGAGATACCTTTTAATTCCCTGACCTGACAGATGAGATTAAACTCTCCAACATTACTAGGAATACTTCATTTGGCTTCCTTTTTACTATTGATTAGAATACTCTGCAACTCTAAAAGGATAGATATTAATTTCTGAAAAAGTGACAGCAATGCAAATTGGGTTGTAATGGGGAGTAAGTCCCCCTTGTGGGGTTATTAAGGATCACTCTGACAAAGCCACAGAAATTATACTTGGAAAGGCATGAGAAATTAAAGAGTTTATCACAGGTCCTAGAGAGCGTGGTATGCTCAGAGGGTCACATAAAGTCACCCAAAGCTAAAAGTTTGGTCACTGCATGCAGAGAAAGAACACAGCAAGGACTCGTGGGTCCGTGCCTTCATTGGAGTCAGAGATAAAGTAGCTTGTGGCACTTGGGAAACCTTTGGATAATTTGAATGTAACTGGGTCAACATGGAGAGGAGGGAAGGGGTAAATTGGGAAAGTCATCAGGAGGCTTACCACTGAAACACACAAGGTAAGGATGGGCACCCAGAAATGGGCAATAACTAGGTAAAAGTTAAAAACAAGCAGGGTGAGTGCAGGCACTCAGGGAGTCATTGAGGCCACAAAGAACAGCTTGACAGTACACGAATGAATTTTCTCCGGGTAGAAATACAAATGATTTCTGTGCAGTAGAAAAGCCCATAGTTACAATTTTATTGTCCTGGATGATAGTAACCATTTTAGAAATCTAACCTAATAATCTTACCCCAGCAATTTTTCAGTGCCTATTTTAGGGCTAACTTTACTATCTCACTTGGTTTCTCTCTTTAATGAGTGAACAAATCTTTGATACATGCTTGCTTTAGATTTATGCAAGAGTTAGGTTTTTAACTTTTTAAAAACTGTTCTTTG